TAAAACCCTCACTTGTTAATATGATCTGAGTGAAAGTTTACAGAGCAAGTCAGTGTTCCACTCAACAATTTTTTAAAATTATTCATTGCAGTGAAAATTTACAGAGACTTTGGATTTCCATTCATTCATTGTTGCACTTTTCTCACCTCCCAACCCTCCCACCAGTACCCTACCCTCTTGGAAAAATAAAAGAAAAATTTTTTCATTGCTTTACAATCCCTCCCCCCAGGTCCACTCCACTATGCAGCCTTCGCTTTGGACTCCTGTCATGACAAAAATACCTAATCACATATCCGTTTTAAACACTTTTCTCCCTCATCTGTTTCAATGCAGTATACATTATTGAACCCATCTTTCTCAGTCTCCCCCCAACCGCGATGTCAGACCTCTTTTATAACAGTGGCACCATGCAGTATTTGTCCTTTTGTGACTGGGATACTTCACTCAACATAATGTCCTCCAGGGTCACCCATTTTGAATAATATTGCATGAGTTCCTTGTATTTCAATGTAGTGTAGTATTCCATTGTGTGAATATACCACAACTTCTCTTATCCATTCATTTGTTGATGGGCACTTGGTTTGTTTCCAACTCCTTGCTATTGTGAACAAAGCCACAATAAACATGGGTGTGCATATATCTGCTCGGATGTCAGTTATGGTCTCTTTGGGGTATATTCCCAGTAGTGGAATTACTGGGTCAAATGGTATCTCTATTTGCAACTTTTTGAGAAAGCGCCAGACCGCCTTCCACAGTAGTTGTATCATTTTACACTCCCACCAACAGTGAATCAGGGTTCCAGTTTCTCCACAACCTCGCCAGCATTTGTTGCTTGCTGTTCTGTTAAATTTTGCTATTCTGACTGGGGTGAGATGATATCTGATAGTTGTTTTGATTTGCATCTTTCTGAGAGCTCGGGATTTTGAACATTTCCTCATGTGCTTGTTAGCCATCTGAATGTCTTCTTTGGTCAAGTGTCTAGTGGTTAACACAACATTGTACTGGCACAGTGACAGACACATGGATCAATGGAATAGAATTGAGAGCCTGGAGATCAGCCCATCTATCTATGGTCAACTGATTTTTGACAAGGAAATGAAATCAGTTAAGTGGGGAAACTACAGCCTTTTAAACAAATGGTGTTGGCAAGATTGGAAAAGTATCTGCAAAAGACTCAAGCAAGATCCACACCTCACTCCATACACAAAAACCAACTCAAGGTGGATCATGGACCTAGGACTAAAACCAAGGACTATAAGCTTCATTAAAGGAAAGCTTGGAAGAATGCTACAAGTCCTAATATACAACATAAACGGTCTTTTGAGTATCCTGAAAAACCTACAACCAGGAGAAGATAAAATAGATGAATAGGATCTTCTAAGAGTCAAATTCCTATTCACATCCAAAAACTTCTCCATCAGGGTGGAAGGGAAGCCACAGACTGGGAAAAAGTATTTGGCAATGACATATCAGATAATGGACTTATATCCAGGATTTATAAAATACTTGAGCACCACAACAAGATAAAGGTAAATAATCCAATAGAAAAATGGCACAGGGTATCCACTCAACATTTTACACACAGTTTAATTCATGACATTTATTATACTCCTCACAATGGAACAGCATCTTTCCCACTTTCTCCCTGCATTTACCATGTCCATTTCTTATCCCTTCTGCCTTTAACAGGATAGATTGACATGGTAACTGCAACAATGGGCTTGAGTATGGCAAGCTGGTGATGGAGCAGGACACGGCAAGGTTCTGATCTGCTGTTCATAGGGTCCCTATGAGTCAACTCGACTTCATAGCCCCTAAAAACACCACCTGCCTTCTGAGTTTTGCTGTTATATGCTGTGAGCTCACCCTCCAGTGGGTTTTCCGAGGTAGTAAATCACACGGAAGGAGACTGCTCAGCCTTCTCCTGAGGAGCCACTTGTGAAGCACCACCCTTGTGTTAGCAGCCCAAGCCTGGCTGGACGATGTCACCAGTCTCTCTAACATGCTATGAAGAGCATGGCAACCCCCTCTGTGGCATTATGGCGGCCATGGCACTACACCAAATGGGCCTGTTTTAGGGAGTCCTGATGCAGTAACACTGGTTACATCCACATGTCCATGTCATGGTGGGATGTCCTTGGTGCAGGATGGACCTTGCTGCTGTGGTAGACTTGTCAGTGTTTTGATGCCACCTTGCCATCAAAGTGAACATGAGCAACTCCAAAGACCTGTCAAATGGGATTTCCCACAGTATCACTTCCCAAGGGTTTCTGACTAGAGAAGCCCTGATTAACTTGGCTCCCTGGTGCCTACTCTACTATGGGAAATTAGAAGAGTTTTCCTCCATCATTATATTTCCCATTTCTAACTCAGAATTTTTAATAATAATAGTAATAATGATGATGGCTAACACATTGAGTGCCTACTATATTCCAGGTACTGTTCTAAAGCACTTTTCAACTATTGCCCAATTTAAACTTCACATCATTCTTCAAAGTGGATATATTCTGATTTTACAAATGAAGAAACCAAGTCTGAACACAGAAAGCTGGATACAGAACCTTTCTTCCTAACTATGTGCTATGCTGTTGACAAATTCAAAGACTGAAATTGTCAACGACTTCATCTTACTTGAATCCACAATTAACATCCTTGATACCAGCAGTTAGGAGATGTATTGCATTGGGAAAGTCTACAGTTAGGGATCTCTCCAAATTACTGAGGAGTAATAATATCAGTTTGAAAACCAAAGTGCACCTGACTCAGACCATGATTTTTCCAGCCACTTGCTGTGGATCTGAGAGCTGGACAATGGGTAAGGATGACAGAAAAATTGATGCCTTTGAGTTGTGCTGCTGGAGAAGAGTTCTGACTATCCTGTAGATTGCCAAAAGAACAGATACGTCTTGGAGAAAGTATAGCCAAAGTGCTCTTTGGAGGCAACGACGACAGAGCTTCATTTCACATACTTTGGGCATATTTTAGGCAAGCCAATTCCTTGGAGAGGGACATCATGTTTGGAAAAGCAGAGGGTTAGAGAAAGAGAGGAAGATGTGATTGACACAGTGACCAACCGGCAGCAATGGGCTCACATATGTCAGAAATTATGAGAATGGCTCAGGACAGGACAGAGTTGAGGTGCACTATGCTGTGGTTGTTGTTAGTTGCACTCGGATTGGAACTAACAACCCTCCAGTGAATTTTAAGAGGCAGTAAACCACATGGTAGGAGACTGTCTTTCTCCTACAGAGCAGCTGATGGATCTGAACCTCATGCCTTTGGGTTGCAACATCTTACTAGGCAACCAAAGCTCCCCAACTATGTACTAGACTGCCTTCTTGTGAGCTTGTACAGCTTTGGGATGGAAAACACCGATGAAGGCAAATCCACCATTTCTCAACCTGATCCATTCACTTTCCTTCTTTCCTTAGCCACAAGAGCATGCTACCTTAGACCATTTGCAAAATCTGAGGAAGACATCAAATAATGGATAATGTATTTGCCACCATCCCATGTCTTCTCCAGTCAAATTTTTCAACACTCTGCTGGAGAGGGTCGGGAAAGGATATGGATTCTCCTGTGCAGCAGAAAGCAACAGCCTCAGGCCTGGTTAAGGAGCGACAGTATGGAAGGCAGATGCATGGATGCCACACTATTGGCTGTCAGTTAAATATTGCTTGCTGTTATTTTTCCCCCCTTGTAAATCTCCCAAATGAAATGGTTTGCTTTCCCCAAGTTAGAAGTGTTAGCACGTCTTTTCTTTAAATATCTGTGCATGGCTGTTTTTTTCCCTGCCAATTTGTCACCATCTGTAATCCTCCTTTTGTGAGACACTCTGATGACAACAATTATCTTGGAGAGTAAAAGTGGCGGTCTTGAAGCAACATACAGAAGTGGATTCAGAGTGTGGGCTCTGCGTGTGTGTGTGTGTGTGTTTGTGTGTGTGTGTGTGTGTGTTCTGAGCGCCGCCTGTACACTCAGTGTACTGTGAGGTATGGAAAATTTGCATTTTTTTTTGCATGGGCGCTGAAGTGCTACGTATGTATAGACATACATATATATAGCTCTACAATGCGAGTGAATCCGTAGAGTGCACATTCTGTGGATGTCTGTGTGCGCGCGTTGTGTGGTTGTGTGTGTGCCTGCCCGCGCACTTGGGTTTGCATGCTCTCTGAGTGGCGATGGTGTGAACACCTTGTGTGTGGGCGAAGTGCCTGTAAGCTGGCTGAAGGAGGGTCTATGGTTTGCTGACAACTGAGGGAAGAAGTTTCGCAGGAGGGCATAATTTCGCAAAAGGTGTTTAAAGCAGGTGCAAGGGAGGCCGATATTGGAGGGGTTTGCGTCAAGGGATATTCGCAGGGTTTGGGCCTGGGTCAAGGCACCGTAAACTAAGCGGGGGGCCGTGAGGAGGAGGGGCTCCCGGCGTCCCTGGGGGGCGGCTCTCTCCTTCTGGGCGCTAGGCCGGGCCCACGGAGCCGCGGCGCCCCTCCCCTCC